CTATTTTTTGGTTGCAGCCATCATTGTTGTTTGGAGGACCCAGGCTGGATTCAAACCCACCACCTCAGGTGTATGTGGCTGGTGCCTTAGCCACTTGAGCCACAGGCGCCGAGCCTATCTTTTCAACTAAGATGAATTTCATAGAGAAAGAGAAGATTGGGGGTAAAGAAGAGAAAACCAGAAAGCCATAGGCCTTGAAGAACAGTCTTAGGCCAGACATGGTGGCTCACACCTGTCATCCTAGCACTTTGTATGTGTGGGGCCAGGTAGATTACCTGAGCCTAGGAGTTTGAGACCAGCAAGTGAGATCTTATCAGAAAAACTAACTGGGTGTTGTGGCAGGTGCCTGTAGTCCCAGTTACTTGGGCATCAGAGGCAAGAGGGTTGCTCAAGCCCAGGAGTTTGAGGTTGCTATGAGCCATGACGCCACGGCACTCTACCCAGGGCACAGAGTGAGACTCTGTCAATCAATCAATAAATAAAAGCATCTTCACCAAAGTGAGGCTGAAGCCAACACTGTCCTGTCTTGTAGATGAAGAAGTCACAGTCCAGAGATGGGTTTGTCCAGAAACTCAGTTTGCTGCTGAAGACCTTGCATCAGGAAGAAAGGTACAGAACTGAGGCCAGTATGTGTACAGCTGAAGGTGTGGGATTAACTGGCTTCTGCCGAGTAGTCTGTGGCCAACAGGCAGAAGGATTCCAAGGGGCCTCCAGGTCAAGCCAACAGCCACACTATCCAAAGCCTGGTGTGCTAGGCCAACAGGCCCCGATGTTACCCAGTCCAGGACACGCTCAGGACCAGATTTCTCAGGATATGAAGGTCCCGATGCCTGTACTCCTGCCATTCTCACCAGATGCCCCGAGGAATCAGGAGACCCAACTTCCAAGCTGATACTTGCTGGGGACCTGGAAGCCTCTTCCCATATCCAAACAGAGACCTACCTTAACAGGACTTTCAGGATCAGATGGTGACGTTTCTGACACAGATCAGGCACCCAGTACCTGGGTACCCTGGCCCTAAGACTAGGGAAGCACACTCTCATTCGTGATGGCTCAGGACACAGGGGTGCCAAGTCAACACAAGCTGACAGAGATGCTCCAGGAGGGACAACACAGGTGGTGACCCAGGCTCGCTCTCCCCAGGTGAGGCTGTGTGGTATGACAGGACTTGGTGGCCCTGGAAGCAGCAGTCCTGGGGTTGCCTAGTTCTGCAAGGCTAAAGCCAGCTGTCGGCCTGAAGGTCCAACAGTGGCCCTTGGTTGTGATTGATCCCGAGCATCCCACAGTCCTACAGCTTCTCATGTTTGCTCACACGGCTGCTCCTGAGACACAGTGCTGGCTGCATCTTCAGAGGGCTCTGATGTCTTAACTATCCTCCACCCCAGGAGTGCCTTCACTGGCCCAAGTCGGTTGCCACTGTGACTTCCACAGCAGCCAGACCCCCAGCAGGTCTGCAGTCTTCTACCTCAACTCCATAAAGCAACTCCCAGGCCTTTTGCTTTTAGACTGCTCAGTGTTAGGAGAATGTCCCTTGCCAGCTCTTAAAAGTGGGGGAATTCACATTGAAAATCCAGGCTTCTCAACTTTTACATTTTGTTAGCACAGCCATGCAGGACCTGGGTTCGTAAAAGGCAGCAGCAGTGGGCTAGATCATGGCTGCCCATGGCCTTGCCCCTCCGCAGTCAACACCTGGTCAACAAAGGCCTAGGCCACAGCTGCCACCTAAGTCTTCATGTGAGGCCTCATTTTCTGGCCCCGCAAGGCTGTCTCTTTACTCACTTTCTGGGGTCTGACAGGAGGCCAGGCCAAGAGGTGTGGCCAGGAGAGCCCTGACACTCAGAGCAAGACTGCACCCCACCCTGGCCCGGAGAGCGCAGCAGGTTGCTGCCTCCTCACCTGATACTAGGACAGCTTCCTCCTGCCATCCAGGGAGGGCCAAGCTGGGCTACCCAGAAAGTGGGAGGGTGGGGTGGGAAGCAAGTTGGCGGTCTGAACGCTCACTCTGCACTTGGCAAGTCCAGGTTCTGGTCTACCTGAGCTACCAAATACCTCCATGCCAATCACCTTGCGGCTGCAACTAGAGGCTGCCTTGCTCCGTGACAGTTAAGCAGGAGCTGAAGGAGCATCCCCCCACCCCCACCCTCAGCTTATCATAGGAGCTGATGGGAGGGCGTGGTGCTGGCTCCAGGACAGGATCTGTTATCGGCAGCTGCCGAGGCCTCCTGAACCCATGCCCACCTCAGCCTGGAGTTCTCAGCTGGGACAGACTCCTGGTGCGGGTGGGGTCACCAAGGGGCCACCAGTGATGCCAGGCTGAGATCCTTAAGCAGCTGCAGGCATAAGCCTTACCCCTGCTACCCCCCAACTTACCAGGGAGGCACACTGACCACCTTCCCTGCCTCCTGCCCTGTGGTAAGGCCCATTGCAAGGAAGTGGGTTGGCAAAGTGGCATCTGGTCTTTACTAGTGGGGAAGATTATCCTCACAACAGGAGTTGGGCTTCACGCCTCATCTGAGGCTGTAGCTCCTTCCTCCTCCCAAACTCCCAAATCTCCTGTGAACACCTAAACGCCGACAGCCAGATCCAGCCACTGGTGGTTTATATCTTAGGTGGGCTATCACCCCCTGGTCTTTCCTGAAACTGCATAACCACTTCTGCTGACATTCAAGGTTGCCTGGGGGGGGAGGGTGTCTCCATTACCAGGGCTCACCCACAGTCAGAGGCTGTGAAGAGCAAGTCAGCAGAAGGAACACAAGCACCCAGGGGCAAGACACGTGAATTTGGAGACTTTGTCCTTATTTCACTTTGTTCCCACACAGAAAATGCCCCCCAAACATGTGTTAATAAACTGGCCATAAAAATGACCACTGCAATGCACTCGTGTTTTATCAACTCAGCAACTCAGTGAGGAGGCTAATCTTTCTACCAATTCACAAGGTTAGAAGTGGATTATGCACTATGGTAGGCATAGTCACATGCGCCTATTCAAATTGGCATTTAAGAATTCACTACGTTGGTGCCAGAGACACCAGTGATCACTGCACAAGTAGAGCAGAGCATCTCCACTGCAGCAGGAAGTTTGGGGGACAGGGCAGGGTTGGAATGAAAATGGCAAGGCCAGGAGAGCTACACATTACCCCAATGTAAGTCCTGGGAGGAACTGTCTCAACTCAGTGACCTCTCATACCCTTAGCAGACCCACCTGTCAACCAGACTGTTCCAGCAATCACACCTGGACTATTCATTGTCTGAGAGGACTGTTTCAAGCTATGAAAACAGGCAAATTGTTTTCCCTCTAATCCAAGGGTTAGCAAACCAAAGGCCTGCTGGTATAAAGGTTTATTGGAACTCGGCCTCTCCTGTTCGCTACTATGGCTGTCCTGCTGTGTCAACAGAGCTGAGTGACTACAAGAGAGGTCACTACTTGGTCCGCAGAGCCAGCAGTATTTACCGTCTGGCCTTTTACAGAAACTTTGCCAACCCTGGTGCTAATCTAATAAGCTAAGACCACAAAAAAAGCAATGTCTTTCTAACACATCATCCCTCAGCTCAAACAGCCTTGGGTACTACAAGTTTTACAAGTGCTTGCTTTAACTATTGAGGTGGTTTCAAACTCACAAATCTCCATCCCACACACCATCAACATGCCCCGAAAATCGTGGCCCCCACCCTTCCTGCTGTAATCGCACATTTATTTTCATGTGGCCACCCCTGGCTGGCACCACTGTAGACACCTGCCTGCCTCTCTTTCCTGCTGGATGTGCTGGTGGTCCCCAAGATGACCCTGTAGGGTCGGGGGGGGGGGCACAGGACACCTAATGTTACAGAGCAGCCTGCACCCAGGACTCTGCTGTTCGACACGAGCATGCTAACTTCTGCACGTTCATCTGCTCTTCTAATTTTTAGATGAGACCATTTCAGCACACTGCTTCCCTGGGACTAAAAGGCCCTGCTCTCACACACTGGCTCCAAGGGACACACTACCGTGAGGACTCCAATTGCTGTCAGCAGGTGGTATGGCCAGATGGTAGAGGGACAGGATACAGGACACCACCATCTCAGTGGTTTCAACAGAGCTGACGGAAAAGCAGTTTTCTTCCTTTAATGTGAAAGTTCCACTCCTGTCTTCCCACAACCAACTCAGGGAATCAAACTCCTCCTGACACCACCACCGGGAATGAATGGAAAGTAAACGCAGCACCCTGTCCCCACAACCAACTCGGGGAATCAAACTCCTCCTGACACCACCACTGGGAGTGAATGGAAAGTAAACGCATACTCGATGGACACATCACAACAAGTTCTTTGGAAAAAAACCAGTCGTTTAATATCTTAAGGGGAGCAGTAACTTTTAGTTACCTAAGACTATAAACAACCCCCAGCCAAAAATGAAAACAAATCAACACCTTCATGTTCATTCAAAGACAAACACACAGTGAATGGCTCTTGTCGCCCTGCCCAGAACTACTCCTTTTGCAGGAGGATGGCTCGGGTGGGGCAGGCTGCCCAGGGTCCCCGCTACTGATTTCTGTCACACTGTTTGGAAGGCAGCTCTGAGCGGGAAGGCACACACATTACAGTGGAAACTGAGAAAGGGGTCCAAGGTACAGACTGGCCCAGAGCCCAGGACAGCTACAGCCTAGGTATGTGACGAGGCCACGCGGTGAGCCACGTAAGGGTCACGTCCACCTGACAGTGTGCGTGCCTTCCAAGACTTACAACACATTTGATAGCATTTCCAGTCATCCCATTTGTACAGGGTTCCCTCCTGGAAAACCTTTAACTTCAAATGTAACTAGAGGAAAGGGAGGGAAAAAAGGAAAAGAAACAAACAACAAAAACCCAACTACCCCAAGAAACTGAAATCAGAGGGAAGTACATCTCAGTCAAAGCTTATTATAAATGAAAAGTTTCCCAACCCTGTTTCCAGGGAGAGTAGAAATCTTCCTCAACTTCCACGTCACTCGCTGAATTATAATTTTTATAGAAAATTTTATTCAACATACAACATTTTCCAGCAAAAAGGCAATATACAGGAAGAGTTGGTGTACACTGCTGCTACAGAAACAACCCCCCCAAAAAAATACCGAAAAAGGATGAAAAGTAAGTGTGACTTGCTGATTCTATTTACTGCACTCAAAACTAGACACGCAGCTGGCATTAGCTCCAAAATGAAAGGAAACGAGGCTGGGACTGAAAGAAAACTACACACAATGAATATCAACATCAGTGAGATTCACTTGCAGACTCACCCAACAAAAGGGAACCTCCTCCAAGTGGCAAATTGTACATGTCCATTCATTAAATATACAATTTCATGTTTCCTTTTTAACTTTTTTACAAAGTCATCAGCTTACTAACCACTAGCGAGCATGCCCTCTTGCTAACGGCTCTCTTGTTTGTTCTGTTCCATTTTAACGAAATTCTATTTATAATTCTTTCACCTGCTTATATGAACGGTCGAGATCAAGTGTGCCCAGAGGCAGCATAGTAAACCTTAATTGTATTTAACAATGTTTTCAACTTAATAAAAAGACCCCAAAACATCTGTCGGGACCAGGCTGCAGGACAGCAGTGGCTGAAGGGAGACCCCAAGCAGCCTGAGAGAAGAACCGAGGCAGGGCTGACAACGAACACAATGACGGGAAGAGCGCTATTTATTAGGTTGTGAGTTTCTCTGTTTTGCCTTTACAGATGCACAAAAGGTCATGAAAGTATAACTGAAGGAAATAGGTCAGATGAGCCTGAACACAAGACTTTCTAGCTGCAGGGCTGGTGCGCAGGACCCCGGAAGGCAGCCAGGCCACTCGTGCCAACCAGAACAGCCGAGAGGCCCTGGCCAGGGACCTGCGTCCTGCTAACCTCTTCTCCCCCGTTATGCTGACAGCTGCCTTGCATGTGGTTACCATAAAATAACTCTCACTGGCATCCAAGCTTTATAAAAACACCTTCATTTTTGCTCAAAAGGGCAGTCAATAGATACAGAGAAGCCAAACTGCACAGCCTCAACAAAATAAAATTAACATCAGCAGCAAATCCTCTTGCTGAAGACTTCGGAGAGAGTGCACGTGTGCCAAAGTTCTCCGCTGTTAAAAGGGGCACACACGCACGCACTGTCCCGCCTCGGACACACGGGGTAAGGAAGTCAGTTATGGATCTTAATAGCCTTTTCAAGGTAAGTGTAGCGACTCCTCTTTGGGGCTTTGTTGAAGTGGTCGAGCCCTAGCCAAGGCCGAGGATGAGACATGTTACCTGGTGGGGATAAAGAAAAGCAACTGAGACCAGAGAGTAACCCTTGAACCCCTGGGTCAGCAGCGGCCAAAACAGACATCCAGAACCAAAGTGAGAGTCCCGGGCGTCTTCAGGTATGAGTTCACAGGGAGGCCAGGGCCTTCTGAGCCAGGTGCTCACCTGGAGCCAAAGATGACCGCAGCCTGACCAGGCATCGCAGAGGCTTTGAGAAGGTGGGACCTGCACCTCTGGGCCACCACCACTTCAGCCTTAAGTGTTTTGCCACCACTGAATACATGCCCAAAGCTTTAATTAACCCTCTAATTATTCACAAGTTACAGGCTGCTACTGTCCGGTTACCCCCAAGTCACCTGCCAGAGAAGAGCAGGCACTGGACCTGGGACTGTCCACCTCCCGGCCATGTACCACCCCCGCTTCCTGGACTCACAGTTAAGGATAACTGCCCCCATAGAGAGGGCTCTTACCAGGCTGTGGCTCAAAGTCTTTCAAATTTACTTCATACTCATCTTCATTTATGTACTGGTGTCGGCCCATCATTACAATTGCAAATTTAAACTAAAAAAAAAAAAAAAATAATAATTAAAACTCCTCCATTAGTTCTGGGTATCTCCAAAACTCACATCTCTAGCACAAACAGCTAGGTCTCTTTTCCAGTGAAGACCTGAGCACGCTGCCCACTGAGTCCCCAGTGCACACCTTTTCAAACTCCTTCTCCTGGATATCCAGCAGACTCTGAATCCGCTTCATCACTTCTCTGAAATGCTCACCCTGGAACAGCAAAGAACATCTGTGCTCAGGCAGCTCAGTCCCACTATCCCGGTGCTGCCAAAACCAAGGACCAGCAACTCAGACTGGAGCCCTGGTTTAGTAACAACAGTTGTTCAAAAGCTTATGTTTTGACTGGAGTAGCTCAACCTACTGCGAGCATTGTACCTGGTGTATCCTCAGCAAAAATGGGATTCCAAATGTTCCGAACACCTCCTTGTGGAAATGAGCCACTGTGATGAGCATCTCATTTTCCTTGTCTATGTCCACCTGGTCCAAAGGTACTTCCTGGGGACACAGTTACACACAAGGTGAGCAGAGTTAATGCAGACAAAATGGGTACATTTAAATTCTGACATAGCACTTCAATAAGGTTAAACTATTTTTGCCCAAGTGCCACACCTGGATCTAGCTAGAAAAATAAGGAGTGCATAGTCAAAAGACATCTAAGTTTTTCCAAAAGAAAACTGAGTACGAAGAGACCAAATAATGTATTATTCCAGTTACCATGGTAATGTCAACAGCTCTAACCTCAAATGATCCACAGGCTCTACCTAGATTTGCTTGGTGGCCCATACTAAAGATTAATTTCTTTCTTTTATTTTTTTTCCTAAGACAAAGTCTCACTCTGTTGCCCTGAGTAGAGAGCCATGATGTCATAGCTCACAGTAACCTCAAACTCTTAGGCTTAAGCAACCCTCTTGCCTCAGCCTCCTGAGTAGCTAGGACTATAGTCAACCGCCACAACACTCAGCTAGTTTATATACACATAAAGACATACACATATCTTTTTTTTTTTTTTAAGTGGAGATGGGGTCTTAAATTCCTAAGAGATTAAGGGATCCAACTGCCTTGGCATCCCAGAGGGCTGGGATTACAGGTGCGAGCCACTGTGCTCGGCCCCTAAAGATTAATTTCTATAGACAAACATTACAAGCTTACACTCATGAGGTACCCCAAGAGTTGTCATATTCAAAATCAAAGTAGAACGGTGGTTACCAGGAAACAGAGGAAAGGTGGACTGTTCTAGTTTGGGAAGATGGAAAAGTTCTCAAGCAGAAAAGACAGTTGTACAGCAGCGTGAACGTACTTGATGCCCCAGAACAATACAGTTAAAAATGATTAAAACGGTAAATTTTATGTTCTATACACTTTATCGCAAAACATTCCTTAAAGTATGGAAGAAAAAAGTTATCCTCAGAAAACACCTCAACTATCAGTATATAATACAAACTAAACTGCTCACACAACTTGCTTCCAGATTCAGGAGGGCAGCAGACAGGCCCAGTCTAACCTCAAGGGCTCACAAGTTCTCTGCCGACAAGGGGACAGTTACCTCTATTCGAAACGTTCTACTCGTTGCAGGAGATAAACATTCTAATAGTTCATCTTCTTGATGCACACCAATAATTTTGTAGCTTACAATTTCTAGCAGCCTGAACAAAGAAAAAACAATGGCAAGAAAGTAAAGTACATATATTCGTGTAAAATAGTAGTAACAAAGAATAGTTTTCTAGAAGATAAATTGTATCCATAATGCTACCATGATACGTGCTTGTCCTTTTATTTTTTTTTTTT